GCCAGTTGCCCGGCGGAACATCACCAGGTTCCTGTTGAGCTCATTGCAGTCAGTCTCAGCAATGAACGTGCGTTGGGGTAATGGTGCGGCGGCTAAAAAAGGCCAAGAGGGCCTATAGATTTCATGACGAAAGCCGCCCACAGTACTCTGTCGCACCCCGAACTGTGCAATCCCAACGCAGAGCTGTCCCAGAGCGGTAGCAGAAGGAAGCTTCATAAACCCTAAACTATAAACCGCTTCGTCTGAACACCCGTCCTATACCACAAACCCTGAACCCCACCTATAGGGTCATACCGTCATACCCGACCTCCTAAGGGTACCACCCTCTAGGTCCTCTAGCTAAACCCTAAGTCGCAAGTCCCAACTCCGCCCACAGTTCGAACCCGCTGAATCCTAAACCCTAAACCCTGAACCCTAAACCCTAAACCCTAAACCCTAAACCCTAAACCCTAAACCCTGAACCCTAAACCCCCTTAAAATCCTGAAAACCGCCTTCAAACTTCCGGGATCCCGAAACAACCGAGACAAAGATCTTCCTGGTCTCTCGGCTTCGAGGTTCACAGGGCTGTAAGTAAGGCTGTTATAGTGTAGGGTTTAGGGTTTAGGGTTTAGGGTTTAGGGTTTAGGGTTTAGGGTTTAGGGTTTAGGGTTTAGGGGCTTCACTGGGCTTTATAAGACTTAACCACTGCTTGTATAAGGCTCTGTAGCGGTTGTACAAGGCTTCTTGCGCTCTAGCCTGGAAAGGGTTGGGGATTCCGAAACCCCCACAACTTTAGTCATACGCAGAAACCCTGAACTCCAGAAAAGAGAGAGAACCAAGCCGAAAACGATCTTCAATCCTACAAAGCAGCAGAAAGCTTCACCGAAACTAGGGTTTAGGGTGTAGGTTGTTCTTTAGGGCGCAGGGGGCTCACAATACGTGGCCTAGGTGCGGTTATCCTAATTATGGCCTTGGTTATAGCTTTACTAAGTCCCTGGAACCTTTACGTATTCCCTGAGGACCAAATGACCCCGAACAGAGCAGTAGGGGCTTTTGCGCCCTTATGCTATGAAACCCTGTATGGTATACGAACCTTGAAGCCCTTTTCGGGCTCACTTCGTTCTTAAGATCCCAGACCTTCCAATATCCCCAAACTAAGGATCATGTCTCAAATCAGATTAGGGATCCTACTATAACTTGAGCTATATTCCTTAGTTAAAGGATATCGGGAGGTCTGGGATGAACCTGAATAGGGTTTAGTTTAGGGCGGTAGGTTGTGGTGTTGAGGGTGCCAATGGTCCACCCATGGAACCTGCCGTGCCCAAAGCCCTGACACAACGCTATCGGTTTAGGGTTGCGGTTCAGGGGCCTCGGTCTTGGGGTATATAATTTTTGGTTTAGGGTTTGGGTTTAGGGTTTAGGGTTTAGGGTTTAGGGTTTAGGGTTTAGGGTTTAGGGTTTAGGGTTTAGGATTTTTGCCTTAACTGCAATAAGCAGGCCCTAACATACAACAGTATTGTACCCTTTCAAAAGCCCTGTCTGCTCCCTCCCCCAGCCTCTGGGTAGTGTTTATTGACATGCAGTCTGATTCCCTGCCAGCATCTGAGCCGTGAGTTTCCCCACTGTACCTTTAAGCAATCTTACAAACCAGCGGTGGTGGTTTAGGGCTTAGGGTTAATCCTAAAACCCAAACTATCCAGACGAAAGCTACTTAGGGATGGACGCTAGACCCTAAACCCTAAATCTAGATGGACTCTTGCTGTCAGGGTCTGAACTCGTCTTGTCCTCGCAGAATTCTGCAGTCTCGCAGCGGGAAGTCTTCGGTAGTATGTAAAGCTCTCTTTGGGTTTAGGGGTTTAGGCCTTTGCGGTGTAGGGTTTAGGGTTTAGGGTTTAGGGTTTAGGGTTTAGGGTTTAGGGTTTAGGGTTCGAGGTTGGGGTTGTTAGTGCTTAGGGTTTACCTACAGTCTCCATTGTTGGTCCTTTTTCGTCACCTTACCCCCAAAAGGAACTACAACGGAGACTGTAGGTAAGGTTCAAGCACCTCTCATCCATGACACCAATAGGCTCTAGGTTGTACAAATCAAACTGGAAGACTTTCCTCAGCATGTACCCCAGCAAACCATACTTGAATGCTCCACAATATATACTCGCACTGGACTAAACCCTAAACCCTAAACACATAGACTATAACATACCATCGTCCGTTTCGGAATATACCTGGTAAAAAGACCTCAACGCCGTAAACTTGATCAAGGTTTACAGTTTAGCAGCTGCAAGCCCCTGGGATCCCTGCTTCCCTTAGGGCTTCAGGGTTTCAGGGTTTTGGGCTGAGGGTTCTTAAGATCACGGTTGAGGGTTTCAGGGTGTGATGAGGGTTTAGGATTTCGGGTGCGTTAATTCTAAGCTAGGGTGCGCATAGCGGTCTGATTCAAAACCGACCAGGCCTCCAATTTTCGGGCAGGACGCGGGTCCGAGCCCTAAGCACCCCAAACACAAAATCTAAAATGCAAGCTCCTAGAACCAACCAGAAATTCTATCCGGGTGTAGGGTCAAAGGCTTAAGGTGTAGGGCTTAAGGCTACGACCCACACACCAGACCTTGGAATTCCAAAGTTAAAGGCCTGTAAAGCCCGAACGCTTCCCTTTGCCGCTCCCACAGCTCCGGCGCACCTATCCCTGAGAGAACCCTAAACCCTAAACCC